GTGGGGTGGGGGGGTACGAAGGTGTCACAGTGTGGCCCGGCCGGCTCGGTTTCTAAGTTAGCATCACCCCGTGCATGACGAGGGCAGCGCTTGAGTTTCCATACCTGCCAGCGGGCCTTGGGGACGCCACCTGGGCCACAAACTCGCTTGGCACCGACTGGCGCACACGGTAGGTAATACAGGCAGTGGCAGTGCGCCCCAGGCGCGGCCAACCCGGCTCCAGCAGACCGGAAGGAGCTGATAACTGGGCGTCCGAAGCAGCCCGCTCCCTTTACGATCGGAAGTGTCCTCGGACTGGTCATTGAGAAATACCCGAGGAGCAGGACGGGGTGAGGGGTGAGATGAGGCCAGAGCCCCGCGTCTGTCTGTCAGTCCATCCTTGCGGGCTACCGGGGCCGCGGGCAGTAGAGAGAGAGAGTTAGTTGGGGGGTGGGGGGGGACGACGACGAGAAAGCGAAGGTCGTGGAAGAGTGGATGGCCAAGGAGGCTAACATGGGGGCTTCTCAGCTGGACAGGAGGGGGCCGTGGAGGAAGCTCCGCCCCCCTCCCCCGCTAGCTTCCCAGTGAAATAGGACCTGCGGGTCTACTGAGCATGCCCGTCCCAGCCGTCTTCGCTAGGAAGGGTCGCTCCGGCTCCATGCTCCAGGCTTTCCCAGTAGCCCGCAGGATGGGCGGTGGGTTCCTCTGGGGATTTAGGATTTAGAGGCAGATAGGTGTGGGTCCTATTGGGGGCTTCCCTGGGTTGGTATAAAGTTATGAGCAGCTCGATATTGGCGCACTCTGCACTATCAAAGCTACAGGATCTCGCCGAGTGGACACCTTTGGCTAGGGCAAGCTGCTCCCCATTTTGCAGCTGTGGGGAGACCGAGATGTGGATCCTCCTGGGCTCTTTCAACTGTGTCATTACATTAAAGCAGGAAATCCGGATACTCCCCACTCTCCTATTCCGGCAACCATCCCCCCCACCCCTCCACCCCCGCACCCCGTCAAGTTTGATCACATCCCAATACAATAGATAGGCTGAATGAATAAAACTTCATTGCGACTTATTCTCCCAGTATCTCTGTGAGGTTCTCTTGCCCTCGGCCCATGTAGATGCAGGAGGCCCGACTTGGCTTGCAACCACAGTAATTTGCTGGGAAGGGCCAGGACGTGATCACCTTAAAGGTTTCCATCTTAAACCCAAAACCAAACAGAACCGGTTCCTACTCATGGCGACCTTACAGGGCAGGGTAGAACTGCCCCTTCGGCTTCCTGTACTTTGAATCTTTATGGGAGCAGACGTCTCAACTGGTGGGTTTGAACCTCTGACCTTTCTATTAGCAGGCCAATGTGCCACCCAGTAGCCTTCAGGTCTCCTGTTTCTACCCACCAAACCCAAATCACAGCCATTTCGGCAACTCCTATATGCCGACTCACAGCAACCCTACAAGGCAGGGCAGAACTGTCTCTGTGGAGTTTCCAAGGTTGTACCTGTTTACGGAGATAGAAAGCTCTGCCTTGCACTGTTTTCACAAAAACGCCTACTTATTGAAAGGAAAGGAGCCCTAGGAGCCCACTGATAAACACAATCAGCGCTAGAACTTCCTCACTAGCAGCCTCTGGAGAAGGACACGGCAGTTGACTTCTTTAGCAAGTGCCCCTGGGGTGCCAGGGAAAGCAGTTCTCCATCCTAGAGTTGCTGGGATCGGAATGGGCTCTGTGGAAGGGGCTTGGTGGCTTGGAAAGAAGGGCAATAGAAGGAACGTTGATCATCCAAAGCTGGAAAAGGGAAGGATGATAGGAACCTCCTATCTGCTGTGTATTCCGCAGTATTCGGGCTTTCAACTGTCTCGAGACCTTACTGTGTAGGCCTCGTTCCCACGCTGACAGGAGCGGAGTCTGCAGCTCAGAGAACTACAGACCAGCCCAGAGGGTCCAGTTAGTTTCATGCCGGGATGTCCCAGTGGGGCCCGATGCCTGGGCTCTCAGTTGCCTGATTCATGGGCTGGGGCAGCCACCAACTGCTATTAGCAGAAAACTGACTAGATGTTGAAAGGGAGAGAGAGGGAGGAGACAGACCTTTCCAGAGCAGGACAGGTGAGCCGTCATGACATCAATTTAGACAGATCATAAAGTTGCGTAAGTACAGACATGAATGACCTCACTAGCCTCCTGGCCATTGTACTCCCTTGTCAGAGTGGCAGTCTGAGACCGGAGGGTGGGGCCAAAGGGAGAGGGTGGAGAGTGGGACTGAAAGCTTGTATCCAAGAGTTCACCACAACTGGGAGTCTCCAGGCTGACTTCCACTACCCTGGGAGAAAAAGCAACAATGGCCAAAGGTGAGAACTAGGTAGATGGCTTTAGCCTTTTGGGGATCGAGAGAACTAGGAGATCTTGTGTGTCTGTAGTGCTTTCTCATCCTCTCCCTGACCTCAAAAGCAGAGAGAAAAACAAGCGAGGCCTTGTCATGTTTATAACTAAACCAAAGAATCGCTTTGCAGAGTGTCTCTGGTTTTGTAGGAGAAAACAAGAACCCCAAAGGGTTCAACTCCCTGCCCAGTGCTTTCTTACCCCCCCCTCCCCCTCCACCAAATAACCCCCAATCTCTCTCCACAAAGGTCACGAACCCTATAGTGAACCTCTGGCTTCTTCTCCCTGACTCAAGGGGAAGCCCTTACCTCCTCGCGGGCACTGGCAGCAGCTCTTTGAATGAATATTCCCTTTGTTGTGGTGGTTACTCTCCAGTCAAATACAACTCGCAGAGACTCAATACGTGCAGACGAGAAATGCTCGTTTCCAAAGGCTGTGACCTTTCTGAAGGTGATTGTTAGGCTTGCCATCTGAGGCAAACTGGCTGAGGTCAAACTGCCCACCAGTCAGTTTGTGTGGTTGCTAGGTGCCCTAAAGTGCGTTCCTGTTCCCAGAGGCCACCCCATGTACAACCACAGGAAATCCTCCTGGTTCTTCACCAAGCCTCACAGTAATTATGCTTGTGCCCATTGTCGCAGCCACCATGTCAATCCATCTCAGGGCTGCTTCCTCTTTTCCCCTGACCATCTACTTCACCAGTGGGAGAAAGAGGAGGCTCTCTACTCCCATAGAGACTTCCAGTCTCAGAAACCCACGGGAGCAGTTCTGCAGTGTCCTATAGGGCTGCTAGGAGCCGGAATGGACTTGTTGGCCAATGGGGATTTTGGTTTGTTTCTTTGGTTTTCTACGTTACCATTTCTCCAAAGTTCGTAAGATGTAGTCTTGCCACCTTGGCTTCTAAGGAACAGATGGTTGTACTTCTTCCAAGATAGATTTGTTTGTCCTTCTGACAATTCATAGTACTTTCACAATTCTTCACCAACATCATGATTCAAATGCACCCATTGGTCCTATCATTTGCATGCTTAGGAGGTGATTGAAAATACCATGGCTTGGTATCATCCTGGGGCCCCATATATCCTTTCCAAAAACCACATACAAACCCATTGTCATTGAGTTAATTACAACTCATAGTGACCGTGTATAGGGTTGTGGAGACTGTGTGTAAATCGTTATGGGAGCAAGCAGCCTTATCTTCCTCCCTAAGAACTACAGATAGGTTCAAGCCCCCAAACTTGCTTTTAGCAGCCGAGTGCCTAACTCAGCACTACCAAGGCTCCTTCCATATACCCCATACTCAAGGTAGATATTTAATCTTCTCTTAATTTGGTTAAAGGTCGCTATTAATTAAAATCTCAGTGGTTGACCTTTGGCACATTCAAGAGGCTGAAATACCCTTTATGATTGGAGAGCAGGAATGGGTAGGGGGTTTTGCCCCCAAATGAAAAATCCATTACCAGGAATCGCTGCATAATTTTTGGAGCCCCCTGCAAAGTGAAAATGCAGGGCCCTTTAAAAAATATATTAAGTTTATCAAGACTGTCATGGGAGAGCATTAAACCAAGCTCAGGGCAGGGGAGACTATACATGCTCACTGGCCAGGAAGCCAGCGCTGCCCATGGCCCAGGGAGCGCTGCTTTGGAGAACATGGGGTTACCAGGGGAATCTCCAACAGACACCTGGCTACAGCAGGGAAAATACAGATAAAAGGCTGGGGTGGGGGAGGCGGGGGAGGGTAGTGGTGAAGAGCAGAAAGACTGGGAGGAGGAGGAAGATGAAGTCAGTAAGTAACCCCTTTCCAAACCTTCAAGGGTTTGGGACATGCGTTATTGTCCATCAACACGAGGGAGATTCGCTGAATATTAGCATATATGTGGGGCTATCTTTTAATTCGAGAAACATGATTTCTACTGAAATGTAGACATTTCAGAGCACACTGCTGGATTTTCTTTCTTTTTTTTAAAGCCCCAATAATGATATTTTAAAGAACTGCTCGTTCCATTGCCAGGACCAGGAAAGATAAAAACACTCACGTGAAACTGAAAGCCACTGCCTTCCAGAACCATAGCAAGGACTCCCCTCACCCCACACCCTTCCTTTCTGGCTAGGGTTCCTGAGACACCTGCGCCGCCCCCACCCTCCCACCCAACAACAGGGGTCCTTGGTCCTTAAAAATCCCAAGCAAGCCCCGCCCCCTGGCAGTTTCATCCAATACCTTTCCGTTCCCTAGCCGAGAACTGTTGTCTCCCTGCCTCCCCACCCCCCTCCCCCCGCGCCGTTTTAATCCTGGGGCTTGGAAAGAGGGAGGAGACCAAACAGGAGCCAGATGTGTGCGACTCCCCGCGGCTCCTGCCTCCTCCCTCCTCCGAGCTTCCTAAAACCCGGAGCACTAATTCAGAGGATCCGGAGCCAGCCAGGCACGACGCAAACAACTCCGCTCCGCGGTTCCTCCGGGACTGGAAGCCCGGAGGGAGGGGGAAAGGAAGCCGGGCATGCTCAGTAGGCGGGACAAAGTTTTTTTTTTCTTCTTCTTTTTTTTTCGCAAGTAGGAAGCTTTTTGCACTCCACCACCTCTGGCCGCTGGGAAGACGTCATCGCTTCCGCCCTACTTCCTCCTCCTGTTGGCGGCGGTGAGAATCCAATATGGAGTAAATCGGTAGAGTCCAGAGATGGGGCTCGGACGGGGCGCCCTGCACCGCCTCCCAGGCGCACCTCTCCGGGCCGCCGACCGCTCTCCGCACCCGTGATTGGCCCAGCCCCTCGGGGGCGACCCTGCACTGGGCCCCAGCCTGCAGCCGCCCCCTCGGCTCCTCTTCTCAGCAGTGCCCGCGGCTCCAAGGCGCGCTTGTTTTTCTCCTCTCCCTCGCCGCCGTCCCCTGCCCAAATCGCTCTCCCTCCGCCCTCTCCCGAGCCCCCCGGAGCCTCCGCCCGCTTCGCCCCTCCTCGCTGCGGCGTTCCCTCTCCCCGCAGTTTGCATTTGCACCCCTTCCCCCTCAAACCTCCACCGGCGCTCCAGTCGCCCTTCTTCCCCTTCTGCCTGCGGCACCCCTTCATCTCTCGCCGTCGCCCCCCACCCCGAATCAGGCGACCTCCGGAGATGTGAAGGAGGGGGGCGAGCGGACAGGAAGATGAAGGGAGCGAAGCTGCCCGCCGCGGGACAGGCGTCTAGGTGAACAAGAAAATGACCGAAGAAACACACCCGGACGAGTAAGTTTACATTGGGGTGGGACGAGGGTGCTCTGCGAAGGCAGCGTCGGGGGCCACGGGTGGGGACGCTCGTGGGGTGAACTTGGCTTGGGGTGCAGCGCGACTTGCTGGTTTATCTGGTTGGGACGCGAGTCCCCCCCCCCCCTTGTTTTGGAAGTGGGGAGGTGGGGGTGAAAGCTGCCGCAGGCTGGCGGCGGCGCACCCAGGGGCGGCAGTCTGGGGGCGGCAGCGGGACCAAGGGCGCACGGGTGACCTCGGGGCGGCCCCCGCGCGCTCTCCGGGGATTCAAAAGCCCCCCCCCTTCCCGAAATCATCGGCAGCAGGATTGTAAGACTTGACACCCCCCACTTGGGCTCGGGAGGTCGGTGGGATTTTACTGGGTGACTTTGTAACTCTTCCGCCCTGCCGCTCGCCCAGCGATCCCTTCGTGAGCCCACTGGGGCCGGAGCTCCGCCATTTCGTTTTTCTTGAATCGCTCTCATTTGCATACCACATTTTCATTCATAAAAAATACGGCGGAGCTCGGGGAGGACTGGGCGCGGGCTGCGCTGGGGTCCGCGTGCGGCTAGCCCCCGCGCGGGCTGACGTGCTGGAACCGCCCGAGGGGTCCCGCGGCGTGTGAGTGTGTGCACGCGCCTGTGGCCCGGGGACACGTTCTCCGCAGGGTCGGGGCAGCTCACGGATGGGGGGGCGGG